TCCCTTTATTCGCAAATTTCATTATTCTTTGACAGGAACTCTCATTTCCAAACAAAAATGGGTAAATTACATCCGATTCACTTTAAATTTTATATTGCAGTCCTCCACACTTCTCAAGAATTCATTTGGGTCCCCATGTTTCATTAATTTCCTTTCAATTCAAATTATAAACTTTCATACTCATCACATTAATCCCTTAAACTTCCATAATTCACAGAATAGCTTCCAAATTTTTGAAATTAATATTTTAATCCTAATTAAACCAAGAAAAAGTTTAGCCCAAAATCGGGGTGTGACACCCTTTCTAGTTTCAACTTAATAATTGTCTCTTTTAAGATATGAATTAAAATCCGTAAAGGTTGATTCTGTGAAAACAAGGGAGGCTTGTTTTTCAGATGCTTGATAGTGTACTGTACTGAGATCTGTTACTCTCAAGACATGATTTTTACTTGGGTATTTATTAGCAGTATAAATATCTTGCAAATTCTAAAGACCAGTTGCTATGAGAACTTATGTGCCTTCACATTTTTATCTCCGAACCTTTAACAGTAACCAGGTGATATGATAAAATTCTAAAAGTTTATTGGGCCTGTTGTCTTTATTTATTTTGAATATTCCATTTTAACTTTGTCTTCCCCTAACAATTATACAGAATAGAATTGGAGCGGATATCATAATGGCCCTTGATGATGTGGTGAAAACTACTATTACTGGTCCACGAATTGAAGAGGCCATGTATCGTACCCTTCGTTGGATAGACAGATGCATAGAAGGTAGTTATGCTAAGACTGATTATTTCTAGTTGTTCATGCATGGATAGATTGACCATTTGGCTGAGGATCATATTACTTGCCGATGATTTAAGTTTTAAATAAGCATTTTGCCTTGTCTGCCTGTCCTCTAGCTTGTTGGGATGGATTATCTTATATTGGGCATATGTGCATGGGCTTTTAAAGTTTTTCAAAAGTATACAGTGTGTGTGTTATAATCATACTAAGTAACGTAATGTTATTATTGAATGTTATCATTTGGATCTCTCAATTTTCCATCATTCTTTTAAAATAGCTCTCTGGTGTCCCTTTTAAGTCCCTGTTTTTTATTAGTAATGTTGTAATTCTCTTAGTGGTGGCATTCTGATCGAGTTAGTTCTTTTGTGCTGCCTTGATCTTATGGACAGCTCATAAAAGGCCACATGAGCAGAATTTGTTTGGTTTTTTTACAAGGTGGTTTTAGATCCAGTACTAAGGTGAATCTCTTATCTTCTTCTTGGTGTGTGTGTTACCTCCATTCAATTTACTCATGATACTTTGGATTTTTTGCCCTTTTGATACTTGTTTTTATCAGGGATATATGTGTTCGGGGATTGGTGGATCGTAATTTACCAGGGTATGTGAATTCTATATCAAGGAATAACTTGTGCTATGTTTCCTTTGAATATATTTTATAACAGATGATCAGATCTTGGTGTTTCATACTTTAGCAAGTTGCTCTAGAATTTTCCACATAACATTTCAAGATCTGAGTTTTCTAGGACTAAAAAATAAAAGGTTGAGTTGACTAAAGAATAATTGATTATTTAAGCTGATGAATGGTATCCTACTAATGTTATGTTTGCTATGAATGTACTTTTACAGAAGATCAGATCTTGATGTTTCATAATTAAGCTAGTTTCAATAGAATTTTCCACCATGCATTTTGATGTCTGAATCATTTTCTAGGGATAGAAAATAATTGGTTTAACTATTAGAAGAAAAATGATTGATTATTTAAGAAAATACAACTCCAATATCTAAATCTGTATGATTCCTAGCAATTTTTTATCTTGTGGGGGGGGGGGTGATACTATTAGAAGTAGGATAACCTAAGTTGGCTAAAGATTCAGTCAACAACAAGGTGAAGTAACTTAAGCTCACTTGTGCGACAGGTATGCAATTGGTGGTCTTGCAGGTGGTGAAGATAAAGATTCATTTTGGCGTGTTGTTGCTCAGTGTACTGCAGCACTTCCTGAAGATAAACCTCGATATGTCATGGTACAAATGAGTTTTGTCACTGTAATCTACATCCTTAGATTCTGACGCATTGCACCTTCTTTTCTCCATTTAGATTGCTGTAAATAATTATATTTATGCTTGCTTCATTTCAGGGTGTTGGGTATCCGCTGGATATTGTAGTCTGTAGTGCCTTGGGTGCTGACATGTATGACTGTGTTTATCCTACTCGAACTGCTCGTTTTGGGACTGCTCTTGTTCCGGAGGTGATTTATTTACAAAGTTTTTAAGAGTAAATGTTCTCAGTTTTGTCACTAGTTGCTATGAATCGTGTTTATGGCACTAGTCACTATTCTTTCTGTTTTCCTTCTAGTATGACTTGTCTTTTCTCATCGAATGCTTTACTATAACTTGTGCCTTGCGTGTTTTGTTTATCCTTTATCTACAGCCTACTCTATTTTTCTTGAATCATCTATGTCTTGCACTGATGTCAAAAACATTCTTAGACATGGGTTTGGGGATATGGTTCCTCAAGGATCCTCCAAATACATGAGAAAACATAGAATAAATTAATGAAGTATGTGTTAGACACAGATAATATACTACTGTCAAAAGTTTGGTCTCTTAAGTTCAGCTCCCTATGAATTGATATTTTTGTTATGCATTAGATACTGGACCTAAAGGATATTAAACACACATCCACACTCAGTTTTATTTAAAATATGAATTTACTATTCTGAAGTCATTCGAACAATTAATGCAGGGAGTGCTTAAACTCAAGCACAATGCGATGGCCGAGGATACTCGTTCTATCTATCCTACATGTGCTTGTATGGTATGCATTTCGTGACATATTTGCTTAAATATGTTAATATATGAATTTTGTTTTTGTTATATTAAACTCTTTCCCCAAGTATGCAAGAACTATACAAGGGCATACATTCTTTCTCTTGTAACAAAGGATGCTATGGGATCTCAGCTTTTATCATATCATAATTTATACTATATGATGCAGGTACAACCTTAAAGTTTCCATGCTGTATGCTTTGTTGCCTTCATTGTTTACTTTATTTTTAATGTTTGAGAGTAAATCTTTGCCAATTTCAGCTTACACATCCATAGTCAAGGGGAAGTTTCCCGAGTATGCTTCTTGCTTTGTGCAATTTTCATTTTTCTTTTATCTTTTCTTTTCATGCAGTATAAGCATATTTACTGTTCTTAATCTTTCTTTTTACAGGTTTGTATGCGACTTTCTGCAGAAAATGGTATTTTCATCTCTCTTTCTTCCTGCCTTCAATTTTTCGAAAATGCTAGTTTCCTGGTCGTACGTAACATCCTGCATCTTTTAATTTTGCGCTGTAGCCTACTTCAGTCTGTAATTCTTCCAAAACATTATCCTTGGATAGTGGTTGGCTCAAATTTTAAATTATCTCAAAGTTCTATGTTCTTCCTAAGCTTCAGTGATGAAATATTGCCGTCTTTGGTTCCAGTCCGAGTATGTTGGCATCTATTACGTTGCAGCATTACCCACTGTTAACCTCACATCAATTACCATCTCCCTAGCCTAAATTTCTCTACTTTATTACCCAGCATTAGCAACATGGATAATGATGATGGTTTTCGGTCATAAACTGATAAACACATATATTTGCCGACAAAAGTAGGAAGACTAGATTAATTTTTTATATGAATATTTAGGTTAAATTTTATGGTGGATCCTTGTACTATAGGCTTAAGAGCAAATTAGTCTTATAAATGTACTATGTCGCCCTCGAACCTTATGAAACTTTGCACTATCTTGTAGTTTCCTAAAGGAGATGTCCCTGAATGGGTCTGCAATGCCATGGAAGTTGCTGAAATTGACATCATGCTGCGCTCCTTTCCGTAACGATTAAATTATAGGAGATTGAATTTTGGTGCTACTTGTTTCGGCTTTTGAGGATGAGATCAAAGAAATCTATTAGATTTAACCCCCATTGAGCCGTAACCAAATAGAGCAGCATAAATTTTGTAGCTTATAGTATGCTGCTTCACCCCCATTGAACACACTTTCACCATTTTTTGTCATAAAATGTCGTAATTTTACACAAACAAAAAAGAACGTGTGGTTTTTTTCGTGTTTATTAAATGTATTAGTTTCGATCAACCGATCGATCGAGCAGAGATTCATATGTGGCTTAATTGAGTTGATGTTAAGAAGTGATTGCACGAGGATGTTGAAATTTCCATCAGTGTATTCAAGGTAATTGTTTAATGTTTTTGGTGATATTTTCTGCATTTTCTCGCTTGTTTAAGATTACTGTTTTTTAGCTTTGTTGGAATTACTTTTCAAGGCCAACTTATATGACCAAATCATTGTACCAATTGACCCAATTCAATTTTATCGATTCTAATAAAAAAATTTATTTTTAATTAATAACCAATTATCAAAATTAAGGTTCAGCTCAGCTCGAGCCATAGAACAGGATAGCATTTGACAGCCAAGCCTTGTGGTCCACAAGGATCATAAAATAGACATTATTCCTATTTCACTTCCCTTGTTGGATGTGGCAAAATGACAACCTTTTATATAACTAATGGAAAGCTCAAGCATTTTAGCTTGATTTGGCTGATATTCAAATCAGTTAAAATGGTTTTAATTTTGAAGCCTTTTACATAACAGCTGCTCCGAGTGAAGCATGCTTATTTCAAAAATCTGTGTGTATCTTAATCCTGTGTATTTAACTTTGATTAAGAAAATGGTTTTCTTTTTTCTCATCAAATTACTTGAAGCTGCTTAGCTGAGAGAATCAACAAGCATTAAAAGAAAAGAAGCCTTTTTGCGTACCAACATTTTTGCCATTCTTGTCAGCTTTCACATTCAGTGTTCACAATATATGCTGCTTCCTGTTTGTGGTTAATGGAGATGAAAAGCACCAAATTTGCTTGAAAGTTTGAACCCTCCTGCAACTGTAAGCAGTACGCTGAAAAACGGAAAAAATATCATCTTTTTTTATTAGCTTTTGGCTTAAATCATGAATCACCCCAATTCTTCAGGTTCCATGGATGCTTTCATCTCCATTTCTCCACCTGAAGGTACAGGACTTTTTATACCCCAATTTTTTTGGGATCAAACTTGCAATTTTCCCTTCTTTTCTGCAACAAAACAGTTTAAGTTCTTATGTTGACCATGTTAATAAGTTAAATCTGTTGAATTATACAGAGGAGAAGGACTCAAAGAAGGAGCAAGTTTACAGCAGGGAGTTCCAAGCAATGTTGGATGGTTTAGAGGAGGAAGACAGATTAGAAGAAGCTGGTCAAGCTGCCGAGAAGAAAAAGCGATTATCTATGGTTCAGGTTAAGGCATTGGAGAAGATTTTCGAGGAGGAAAGCAAGGTGGAGCATGAGAGGAAGGTTAAATTAGCTGAAGAATTAGGGCTGCAACCGAGACAAGTAGCTATCTGGTTCCAAAACCGACGTGCCCGTTGGAAGACTAAGCAGCTGGAGAAAGATTATGGTGTTCTTAAAGCAAATTATGACGCTCTTAAGTTTGGTTATAACAATCTTCGACAAGAGAATGATGTATTAACTGCAAAGGTATATTTAATATATATATATATAGTTCATTGCTGAAATCCTATTTGGTTTGCAGTAATTAATGTGTTTCTTGGATTCTGAAATTGCAGTTGAGAGATCTTAAAGCAAAGGTCAAAGAAGATTCTGATAAATTCTCAGAGAAGATCAAAGAGCATGATTTGTGTGAGAATGACGACGATGATCATGATTCAACTGGGATTGTTAAAGAAGAGAGTGATGTTAATGCTCAGTTATTGATGTCACCAACTTCTTCTTTTCAAGTAAATGGATCTTCTTCATCTTCAGATTCATCAAATCATCATCAATGGTTTCAACCATTCGATCCAAGAATGCTTGTGAAAGTGGAAGAACAATGCATGATTACTGCAGAAGAATGCTGCAATTTCTTCTCAGTGGACCAACCTCCATCTCTTCAATGGTACTTCACAGGGAAGTGAAAAGAATTAAAGTCTTTACAACCCCATCAAATAAAATAGCCTTGAAAGTTTTGTTAATCAAGTTATGTTCTTTTGGTCTGAAAGAGCATGGTCTCAAAATATGATCCTTCTCAATTACAAGTGCTTTACGATCAAAGTTCGAGGACGAATTACTGATATCAAGATTCGAAATCGAATTAGATTTATTTTGTAATGTAGAAACAAACTGTTAATGTTGAAATATCTTTATGAACATCAAAGCTATGAAAATTTGACAAGGGTAGCTTAGCTGGCATTGCTAAAATGCAAAATGGGACTGAGTGAAGGTGTTTTCCATTTAAGAAAGGCAAGCAAAAAAATAGAGAATGGAGAAGCTGTTTCGGTCCAAACTCCATCTTTTTTCTTCTCTTCCCTTTCACTTTTGTTTATCCCATTTCTGATAGGCTCCCATCAGCCCATGTGGTGGGTAGAAAGTAGACCCTCTCATCACCTAAAAACTTAAGAATGTCATGCTTAGCTATTCAACCTAAAAAGATAGGATAAACTTATAAAATTTTAAAAATAAAAATAAATTATTAATAAAAAATATAAATAAATACTTAAATTATATAAAAATTTGATTTTTTTTTAAAGACACCGCTCCTCCTAACCCTATGTCCATCCAATATGTACATCCAATTGTGGAAGAGGAGATTAGGGTGGTCCTTTCCACTTCTAATGGATTGGATGGGAAAGGGACAGAACATAAAGTTGGTCTCTCTCGTCTCAGAAATGGGTCCTCTATGTCATCCATCTTTGACTGTTAATGCCCCCATGGAATCTACCTATATAGCATCATGGTTTTCAGAACTGGACCAATTAACGAATCGGTCATGTTATTAGTTTATTAGTTCAATCGGTTAAATAGGGTTTGACCGATCGAAAAAATCGGACGATGTCATAATTATTTAAAAAATTAAATAAAAATATCAAAAATATTTAATAAAAAATAATTTTTTATATCACAAGTCATATTCAAAGCAAGTCATAACATATATAAGTTAAAAACCATAAAATCAAGTGAAACAAAATGATTCAAATTAACTACAACATAATATTTAAGGTAAAACATATTAAATAATAAATATAATTATATAACTATAATTAAAAAATAAATTTGGAGCTAAAAAATCATAACAAAATAATATTGTTTTGTTTAACTTTTTTTAAAAAACAATCTCACATGGCTAAGAAACACAGAAGAGCATCTCAAAAGTCTAAAGAGTAAAAATATGAGAACAAAACAATCTCACATGCCTAAAAAACATAGAAGAGCATCTCAACTAACTTCTATAAATAATAGAGGTAATTTGACATTCAAAATCATAGAGCCTTTTGGTGAGCATTGAGTGAATTATTCTTTCACTTTAATCAAGCTCGAATTTAGGCTTCAATCGAACTTCTAATTTTTTTTTTGAGTTCAAGCCTTTTCGAGTTCAAGTTTCAATATTATATTTCGAGTTCGAGTTGAACTTGATAATTTTTAATTCGTGAGTTTGAGTCGAGTTGAGCTTACTTTTAAAGTTTTCAAGTTTGAGTCGAGCTCAGTAATACTTGAGTTCGACTTGGCTCTTTAACAAACGACGTCGTTTGGTTTAATTTAAAAAAAATTGGTTATTTTTCCCGTTTTTTTCGGTTTTCTCGGTTTTTTCCGGTTTTCAGCCGGTCCGGTTTGAACGGTTCAACGGTTTTGGTCGATTCACTAATAGCGGTTCAACCGGTGTAGATTGAACTGGACTAGGCAACGGTTCCCGGTTGAACCGACCGATCCGGTCCGATTTTCAAAATAATGTATGGCATTGCCCAATCCCTATTCTCTCATCAATACCCCTAATAAGTTTCAAAAATAAAAAAAAATCAAATTTTAATATTAATTAAATCAAAAATTAAATTTAAGTATAGTTCGAATAAAATAATTGATGTACCAAAATAAAACTTTACATTGAATCTTACGTGCACATTATTAGATCTATATAAAAGACAAAAAAAACATGTGATACACATACGAGTGTAGATGAACATAGCATTCGATGAGATGTTTGTTTATGTTTATTTATTAAGTTAAATAAATGAGTGAACAAAAATGATATGTTATTTTAATAAACTCAAAAGCACGAACAGGTGTGTACAAGTTCATTTATCTTATTCTCATTTTACCATTTTACATTTTAAATATCGGTGAAGGTATAGACTAAATTAAACATATGATGAACTTTAGAGTTCAAACTGTGAAGCCTAAGGAGCTTAAAGACTAATGTAGTAATTTCACCATTTTTCTGAATATATACATAAACATGTTTGTGAATACTAGATGAATATGTTAATAAATACTAAATGGACATGTTAGCAAATATATGAATGAATATGTTCACAAATGTTAAATGAAACCGAACAAAAACACCCTCAAAATAAATAAAAAATGAAAATAACATCATTCATTCAAACTCGGTTTATTTACACCTATACAATTCATACATACTAATGTAAAACTATATTATTTTTACACACTTTCATCGTATCATTGAATATGGTTCATGTTTCAACAATTCAACCATTTCCAACCTAGGTTATGCACTCAATTTGAAAATTGTATATATTCGATGTTAAATTTTTTTAAGTTATATTGATAAAGATAGATAATATTCTCGATTAATATAATTTATTTGTACGATGACTATGATTATATTACATTATTAAATTTGATTGTTGAGTTAGTTATATATATTATAGAAAGCATCTAATTTTATCAAAAAGTAGAAAAATATCTAGAATTACAAAGAAGATTTATAAGTATAACGGTAAACGTAAACTAAATTATAATTAGAAGATTTTTCTATAACAAATTGACACATAAACTAGTCACTTAGATCACACATAGACCAAAGAAGGAAAATGTTAAAAAACATAACCAAAATACTCGAACAAAATAAAGATATTAACAAATCTGACTGCATCGAAAACGAACCATAAAAAATGATGAAGCTATTGAAAGACCATTGACAAATCGCAAATCAAAGTCAAGCGACGTGAGAAAACTATCCACGAACGCAAAACACGTATCCAAATCAATCTAAGGGTATAAAGCAGTGAAGATCAACATGAAAACAAATAAGCGACATCTTGATTAGTCGTGGCGATACCAAATTCAACCTTGAAAAAAAATAAACGGAAACAACGACCAAAAAGACGAAAACTATCAAAAGACAGAGATAGGCATACCACAAAGACATATATAAACATGTTATAAATACATAATTATTCATAAAAAAAATTTAAAAAAACAAAAAGAAAAGACAACCGACGATCGATAATTAGTATCAAAATTGATGATGCCATCGGCTAAACAAAATTAAAAAAAATTGACTTGATCTATAAAAAAAAATAGGACAAATTGTAAAGGGAAAAAAAGGAAATAGATGAGAGGGAGAGAGCCGCTAAGGGTTGTGATGAGTTATTAAAATATTCAGACAAATAATATCAAATACTACTAATTTGTAGACAGCATACTATTTATATAATTAAACTTTTATTTATTCCAATTATAATGTTAAATTTTTATTTTTATTTTTATTTTATTTATAAACCATTAAATTTCATCAGCCCATTGAAGTTTTCATGACCTTATAGGCTTATAATTCACCAGATGTAAATCTTAAGCTATATTTAGATTAAACGTATTAAGGAAGAGAAAATACAAAGAAAAATGAATGAGAATGGATTGAATTGTTCTAAAAAATGAAATGAAAAGATAATAATTTTTATTATTATTGATTAAACAATTAAATTTTTTAGCTATAATGTGCTTTTTACATTTATAACCTTATGTATATGTAGACACATATTTTTTTATATGGACACATCAAATATAGACCTCCTAAACCATTCCATAAAACTTAGGGTTGTTTGTTTACTTCAGAATGATTAAACGCTGAATGATTCAAATGTTGAATGATTTAGAGGCTCTGTATGAATTAGCTCTGAATGTGACATGTTGTTTGATAATAGCTCTGAATCATTCAAAATGTACTTCTGTGCTGAATCATTCAACATTGTTTTACTGAATCAGTCAGCACTGAATCACTCAGAGGTGCGAAACAAACGCGTCCATTAATAGACAAACAAACATCCCCTTAATCTATCCTACCTAGTTGCCCGGACTCTAAATCCAAACCCAAAAGGTTTAGATCCGGGTCAAAACTCATAAAACTCGAATCAATAAAAATGGATAGTCCGATCCAGGATGAGTCCAAATGTGTAAAATTATTTTTAATATGAATTCTTGAAATATTGTAATTAAAGAAATTAAGATTTATTTATATTTAAAGTATGTTCTACTAAAGATGTGAAAGATTGGAATTTTTTTTGGATAATTAAAAGATTGGAATTTAAAAGAGATTCATAAAATTTATTTTTAAATTTTAATCAAGTGTTGTGTACTGGACACGGACTATAAAGATATATCACAAAAAGAATTTACATCAAAAATATAATATTAATATTTTTTAAACGTGTATTGTAAATATGTACACACGACCGACATAAAATGTCTTCAGTAAACACCGTCCTCCAGGCACGTAAGAGTTTCTTTAGTTCCAGTATTTAATGCATGTCACATTAAAAATCAAACTCACCGGTTTGGCCAATGGAAAACGGGACGTGATTGGTCCCAACTGTTTGGAATTTTTAGGTAAGACTTGGCACGTTTTATATCCTCTGCGTCTTAATATATAAATTATTAATAATTTTAATTTATTTGCTAAGTTTTAGTTATTAGTATGATTTCATTTAAATAAAATGAAAGATTAAATATTATTTTTGAAATTCATTATCTTTTAATATTAAATTTAGAATTTACACCAATTCTTCTTTATACATTTTTGAACTGTTTAATAACTCTTACAATAATTAAATCTTGGGTAAATTGTATGTTTAGTACCCAACTATCACTTTTATTTTATTTTGGTTTGACGATTATTTTTTTATTTAAAAATCTTAGATGTTTAGTACAATAATTAAATCTTAGATATTTATAATTGACGTTATATTCGTACTTTTTGAGTTACGTTTTGTATCGGACGTTGATTATTCTAACTTATTAAAGCCCACTCCCTTTTCGGGGCGAATTATCTGGACCCCCTCCCAAAACTTAAGTCAGCCCATGGTTCTTGGACTAAATTAAAGTTTAAGTTATTGTATTTGTCCTCATCAGTTGACTTTTACTCTTCCTCCTCCAAAGTTTTCGACAACATCTAAATTCCTTACAATTTTAGATTCTCATATATTTAATTACATTCACATTTATAATATATTACAACAACAATAATCAAATTCATAATAATTATTAAAAAATATATATAGAAATGTTCAGAGACAGCACTAAAGGAATAATCAAAGTTTTAGTTATACATGGTCAAATTCCTTTTAGTCTTTACCACCCAAAATACCCATACATAGTTTAAGTTAGATAGAAACAAAGTAATTTTATAAAGACAAAAGGTGTTGATGACATCATCTAAAAAGATTGGGTTTATAAAATAATACTCCATTTTAATAGATATTTTTTTTTAAAAAATGGATTAGGAGATTAAATAATTATTTTTAATTATATTATATGGTTGAAAAACAAGGGATGTGCACTCAAAATATGTATTTTCTTTTATTGCTCAAGTGAATGAGAACAGCACCAAAAATAAAATATAAAAACTAATCTTATTAATCACGAATAATAAAACCAACTTAACGTATTTAAGAAGGCTTTCCGGATTTTCTACGCCGCCCTGACAACTAGGCTGTCCTAAAGAACGAATCTCAACCGTGAGATGACAATCAAATGGACCCCAACCAACATTGGCTGGATCAGAGCCCTTCATTTATTCCAGTACTCTCCTTCTAAAAAATAACTTTTCGGATGGTCAATCTGAATTTAAAAGGGAGAAAGAACACGAAGGGGAAGCTCCCATGAAACAGTCTTGCAAGCAAAACACAACCTTCCACTTTTTCTTTATAAAAACAGTTTCTTTTACGGCCCAAAGACCAAACTCAGAAGCCAATGCTAAACGTGAAAACATCATCGGAATATGTCGGAGGAGGTGGCCGTGGCCGTGACCGGCGATCCCATCCGAGTGAAGGATGTAAAAGACACCCAAAACACAAGCAATCACCAGGAGTTTGTTCGCTTTGTTTAGCCCAGAAACTGACTCAGTTATCTACTCATTCGTCCACACTTGCCTCTTCTTCCTCCTCCTCTTCTTCTTCTTTATCATCCTATTGCTCTTCATCTTCTTCTTGTTCTTCCTCTCCCTATTGTGCTCGTCGTTTTACTGCACATGGAAAAGGGCCTTCCTTTTCCTTTTTACTGTCTAGCGGCAAGAATTTACTCACTAAGAGCAGATCAGTTGCTTGTGGTTCAAGGATGAGGAGCAAAGAAGGCGATAAGAAGAAGAAAGGTGGCTTCTTGTACAAGTTGCTTTACCGGAGAAACACTAAGACGAAAGAACAAGGTCCATTAATGGCGGCGTTTGCTTGATTTTTTTTTCGGAACTTAGTTCATTGATAGATTAGAACTTCTACGATAAGGTTTTTGCTTGAAAGAACATAATGTATCGTACGTACTTTATGAAACATTTATGGATCTGTATGATATCATTATTATATTCCTTTTGCTGTTGTTATTTCGTCATGAAGATATGGGATTTGCTTTGCCAACAGCTTTTGTGAAGGCCACGTTGTTTAATTTTGTCTCGTGTTAAAAAAAGGAAGGACAAAAGTTTTATATTTTAGGCTAAACTGTACTCCTCCGAATTATGTACTTAATTATTTCATTTTCTAAGAAAACATATTATGCTATTTTTTTTATTAATTTGGGTAAGTATAGGATAAAATTTGTTCAAGAAAATTCTTAATTTTTTTGACATTGAACGTTAATACCCCTGACATATGTGATGTTTAAATCTATATTTTCAAAGAACAACAATATTATTTTATCATAAAAGTCATTTGATTCGTGCATTATGTTTGATCTCATCATTAATAGCTCAAACTGTAGGCTTATATATGACCAATCTATGAATAAAATTGTATGAGATGATTGTACGGGATACTTTTTAAATTATAATTTGTTTTTAATTTAAGTTGATTTTTAAATTTTGAAATAGTTTGTATTAATTTTTAATTAATTTTTTATATTTTAGAATGATACTTAAATCTTAAAGTATTCTATATCCGTTCTTAAATTACTACTATCATTTTATTTTATTTAAACATCGGATTGTAAAGAATACCTTGTAAATAATTCACTTAATTAAAATTATATAGTCATGTGAAATCTGATAAAAAATAACTAAACTATTTCTTTAGGATTTTCCTCGAACTTATGTTCTAACTCTTTAAACACATAAAATATATCGTTGGATAATTCGATAATATCATGTTCAATGATTGAACTAATAAAAATTATTTTAGTGGTTAAAATTATGATTATTATTTTTAAAATGTATGGATTTGAGCACAATGATTAATGGCAGATACATTAAGGGACGAGGATGGGTACGTGCCCACCCTGAAATTCAAATTTTCTTCGAATGTCATTTATTTTATTGATGGTGTCCACCCTGAAATATGAAATTTCTTCGATTATGAATTATTTTATTGATGATGTCCATCCTAAAATTTATTTATCATATCCTTAACATATATGTAATCATGCTAAAAAATATTTCTGGATCCGCCACTACCAATGACCGTAGAGTATTTAAGCGTTCGTTGTCAAATGCTCGAGAGTTTTTAGAACAACTACTACCTCTTGTAATCACTCTAAATTAATAAAAAAATATTCAAAAGATTAAGATGAAAAAAATGAAAGATTAAAATTAGAAAAGTCAAATTCAGGACAATATAAAAACTATCTAAAAATAAGAAAGTTCAAAATTTTTAGGAGGTGCATCGTGTCATGGCCATCCCTTTTCTTATATGGCCACAACCGAATAGGTATGCCAAGGCCAACCATGTATAGGGCCTAGTGGCATGGTAGAATAAGCTTGTCCTCTTTTCAAGCATTTCAATGTTTTAGGTAGGGAGTGGGGATATGTCTTAATGTCCCCTGTTCGAGCTTTTCAACGTCTATAGGTAGTATTTCTGTTATTTTGTTTTCGCATATATGTAGGGGGTGGACAGCCGGCAGAGTTTGGGCTGATCCACAGGTAAAGGTACGTGTCTTGTGAACATCATCGAGGGCCGCGCCTACGGCCTAATCGATGGTGTGGGTGAGTCTTCTGTAACCCGATGTTTCTTTTGTTAATAAAATATTTTTCTCTCGGAGAAGTCCGGGGGTTGAGGTGTGCATCCGCTATGCCCCACGGGCTTAAATTATTGGTTGAGGGACCGTGTTGCTACAATGATCTAACGTGATGTTTATTCCTGTTTGATCAGATATACGAGAGAAAGGCTGACTTGACTTGGGAAGAGTCCCTTTTCAGGTGCCGCACGGATTAAAAACCTAGTTGGAAAAGGTAAGTCCGTGACACTTGGTATCAGAGCCGAATGATTCGTGGTAGACGAGATGTGTTCTTATTTCTTTTAAGGAATTTCGCCGAGCGCTTCAACATTAAAAGTTAGAAGGGGGACAGAGTTCATGCCGAGCGCTTCCAGTGGGGAATAGGCCGGATGACCTGATCTTACGCCGGGCGCTCTAATGTATGGGGTAGGCAGGGTATTCCTATTTTCACGCCGAGCGCTTCACTGTTAAGAGTTGGAAGGGGGACAAAGTTCATGCCGAGCGCTTCCAGTGGGGAGTAGGCATGATGACTTGATCTTACGCCGGGCGCTCTAACGTGTGGAGTAGGCAGGGTGTTATAATATCACGTCGAGCACTTCAACGTTGAGAGTAGGCAGGGGAGACAGAGTACATGCCGAGCGCTTCCAGAGGGGAGTAGGCAGGATGACCTGGTCTTACGCCGAGCGCTCTAACGTGTGGAGTAGGCCGGGTGAAACAAGATGTGCTATAACATCACGTCGAGCACTTCAACGTTAAGAGTAGACAGGGGAGACAGAGTATATGCCGAGCGCTTCCAGAGGGGAGTAGGCAGGATGACCTGGTCTTACGCCGAGCGCTCTAACGTGTGGAGTAGGCCGGGTGAAATAAGATGTGCCTTAATGTCACGCCGAGCGCTTCAACGTTTAGAGTAGGCAGAGGAGACAGAGTGCATGCCGAGCGCTTCCAAAGGGGAGTAGGCAGGATGACCTGATCTTACGTCGAGCGCTCTAACGTGTGGAGTAGGCAGGGTGTCCCAGATTCACGCCGAGCATCTCAACGTGTAGGGTAAGCAGGGTAGACAGAGTTCATGTCGAGCGCTTCTAGAGGGGAGTAGGCATGATGACCTGGTCTTACGCCGAGCGCCCTAACGTGTAGAGTAGGTCGGGTGAAATAGAATGCGCTTTAATATCAGGTCGAGCGCCTCAACGTGTGGGGTAGGCAGGGTAGACAGAGTTCATGCCGAGCGCTTCCAGAGGGGAGTAGGCAGGATGACCTGATCTTACGCCGAGCGCCTTAACGTGTGGAGTAGGCCGGGTGAAATAAAATGATTTAGGCACAATAGTGCTCAATTGTGAAACTGCGCAGGGATATTTTCATCTGAGTACCAATACAAGCACATGTAATAACACTGTTTGGCAAGGGGATCTTGCTTTATGTAGCACGGAGGTGCTTTATGGTAACATTTGTGCGAGAATGCTTATTTGTGTCCTTGACATCAAGGCGATACTTTTGGCACGAAGATGCTGAAATAATTTATGTTGTGAGAAATTATATTCCAAGTATTCTGGTGCTTACTTGTGATTATTATTGTTTTTACAGTGTTACCTAACAGATATTGGAAAATGGTTGGAACACGTTCCAGTGGTTCTGTAGACCAGAACAGAATTGAGAGTTTAGAAGCCGAAGTAGCGGCACTAAAAGCTGGGATGATTTCGGAGGATCGAGTTCGAGTGATTGAGTTAGCTCAAGCTCAACTCTCAGAAGCCTTAAACGAACTTAAAGCTGAAGCGCAAAATGCTATCAGTTCTGTGTTAGAGTCGTTCGACGAACTCAAGGCTCAAGTCAATTTAATTCAACTCGCTGTGGGTAATCTGGGTTCAGGCATTGTTGACAAAAGTCAAAGGGTCAAGGTACCGGAACCTCAGCGGTTTGGCGGGACCAGGGATGCTAAAGAGTTGGAGAATTTCTTGTTTGACATGGAGCAATATTTTAAAGTGATGCAGGCTAACTCCGAAGAGGACAAGGTCTCTATGGCCTCAATGTATCTTGCAGGAGATGCCAAATTATGGTGGCGATCCAAGTTTGTTGACGGCGTGTGTTCCATCAATACTTGGGATGATTTAAGGAAAGAATTGAAGAAAACCTTCTTCCCGAAGAATGTGGAGTACAATGCACGAAAGAAGCTGAGGGGACTAACACAAACAAGAATTGTTTGTGAATATGTGAGAGAATTTGCAACATTGATGCTAGACATCCGAGACATGGCTGAAAACGACAAAATGTTCTATTTCCTGGAAGGGCTCAAACCGTGGGCTAGAACAGAGATCCAGAGACAACGAGTAGAGGATGTGACTGAAGCTATGAATGCCGCTGAGCGTCTCAGCGATTATACTAATGTTATAGTCAAGCGAAAAGGCCCCTATCAAGGAGAGGACAATCTGTTTAGGGGTGATGGTGATATTAATTTCAGTAATGGGAATAAGGTGGCTAGAAGGGATGGAGCTTTCAGTTGGGAAATAGATAAGAGGCCTTTTCTCCGAGACCCAATACCAAATACATCAAGTAATGGGTATAGGCAGAGTGGTGATAAACCGAGGCAATCTGTGGATTCACATCCTAAGAATGGGCATAGGCAAAGTGGGGAAAGACCCAGATCATCCTTGGAGTGCTATTTGTGTAAAGGCTCTCATCGATTGGCTGAGTGTCCGCATAGGAGGGCGTTCAATGCGCTTGTGAACACATCGAGGAATGAATCACAACAAGATCCATCAGAAGAGGATACTGAAAATGAACCAGCTAGAATGGGTTCGATTCGATTCTTGTGTGCGTTGCAAACTCAAGTTAGTAGGTTAAGGAAAGAGCCAGTTAGGGGCCTCATGTATGTGGATCTCGTAGTGAATGGAATAACTTCAAGGGCCCTGGTGGACACTAGAGCAACCGACACTTTCATCTCCCCTGAGGAAGCTATGAGGTGCGGATTGAATGTTACCAAGGAAGAGGGGCAGATGAAGGCAGTGAACTCGTCCGCCGTGGCGATATGTGGGACCGCTAAGAATGTGAAGATAAAACTAGGAGTATGGGAGGGGGAAGTTGACTTTACCATATCTCCGATGGATGATTTTGATGTTGTCTTAGGTATCGACTTTATGATATCAGCACGAGTTATTACGATGCCTTCTACAAGTTGTTTGATGCTGTTGGGAGAGATCCCGTGTGTAGTGCCGACAACCTTGCTGCCGAAGTTGGAAAGGAAGAATTTTACCAAGAGAGAAGTC